TTCCTTTCCTTTCCTTTCCTTTCCTTTCCTTTCCTTTCCTTTCCTTTCCTTTCCTTTCCTTTCCTTTCCTTTCCTTCTGAAATAGACAACACACTGAATCCTCAGGGAGGGCAAAAGAGGGCATACCAAATGCAAGAGATGGGAAGGATCCTTAAGATATAAACAACTGGAGTTCTCCCATTTCAATTAGGCCCACGGGGAGGTTCTCAAATTGCCTCCAACAATGATTTCTCAATGTGAAGTTATTCAACCCCTTCCAAAATTGCTGTTGGACTTAGTGAGAGGGGAAGAACACAGAACCCAGTCTTGTGTCTGTAGTTCTGCTCGCTGGGTGATGGTAAAGAGGCACCTTTAATCCAGAAATGGCACACAGGAGGGGTTAAGAGGCTCTTTCTCGAACACTTCAACACTGGGAATTATTGGGTATGGATGCTTTGAATTTTAGATAATACTCAAGACTTTTTCCCTCCCATGTCCCTTTGTGCCCCCCTAGATTCATGCAAGGTGAAGCAAGTTATGTAGTATATGGAATCCCACAGCCCATTCCTTTTAGATCTGGAGATCCTACCCAACATTTTCAAGAACTTTGGTGTGGTTGCATACCCTGCACGTGTGCCTTTAAAGCAGTAGAAACTTGTATATGTGTTTTTAAAACATCTGTGGTGGTGGTAGTGGTGGGGTAGCTAAGTTATATAGAGAGAAATAAAAGAAGCTGATTCTTTGTCTCCTGGTTGCACAGCATCTTCTAACCTGTGGAGTCCTTGGGGTTCTCTGAGCTTGGTGGTTTTCTTGCAAACGTTTCATTACCCGGCTAGGTAACATCTTCAGAAGATGTTTGCAAGAAAACCACCAAGCTCAGAGAACCCCAAGGACTGCACAGTTCAACCCTGAGCTACACATATTCGCTTCTGTTGATCGTCTAACCTTTTTGGGCATCTTTCAGCTGGATAATGAATCTTCAATCACGGATACCATCTTCTTTTTCTCCACGGAGGACCTCTCGCTGATGCCTTTGCGCGATCTGGCGGTATTCCACAATGGCGATGTCTCCCATCAGTTTGGATTTACCATTGGGCCTGTTTGCTTTCGCTAAACATGCCTTTGAGCGAGCCCATGTTCCTCCTAGAAAGGAAAGAACATTTCCAAGAAAGAAGGAAGGAAGATACGGAGGCCCTCCGCCGATTCAGCCAGTTTTTAAAAGCCACTGCTCTGACTCATGACTGCACTGCACTGTACAAATTTCCCACACTTTCTTCTGAAGGATGAAGAATATTATGTTTACAAGGATATTATTTTAAGTCCTGTTTTTTTTCCTCTGTTTATATATAAGTATGTACAAAAGAGGTTAATTTAAATAACTAGGAAGAGATGGTTGAGTTACCTTCAGGAGGACTCTGTTTTGCATAAAGAGAAATCAGGACTAGCTCTACCCCTTGCTGGAGTGGGGCAGTAACCCCAGGTGGTAGATTCTGGAAAGCAGCAGTAAGATATTGAAAGAAAGAGCTATGCTGAATTATTCAACCTACTGTTTTCAGGTGTGGCTTCTGCATTCTTCTTCTCTTACCTAGGGTAGTAAAGAATCTCAGGTTGACCCTTACTGGCAGTAATAAATAGATAACCCTCCCCCTTCCAATCTGCATGGATGCATCAATAGGAAGAAGCTGAACCTGTTGATTTCAACCTGACATGCAACAGTTAACAATACCACGCCTTTAGGAACAGAACTGTCTTCCAAGGGTATATCTGAAATATGCAATCAAGGAGACCTCCCACAGCCAGCATTTTTTCTTCCTTTAAATCATCCACTTTCTTAGTGGCACAAATAACCTTCCCTGTCTTTTATAGGGCAAGTCCATAATTGCTACCCTGATCCCTCCCTTTTCTCACATCTGTTTTATTTCAGGCTGGGGAGGGCCGATGGAAGCATCTTTCAGGAGTTGAGTGGGATTTCTTCCTCTTAGGTTTTGCTTTCGGCAGTAACTCTGTCTGTTTCAGCTGGACTAACAAAAGAATCTAGGAAGTTCCCCAAGGTTGGAATTCATCGTTCAGGATCACACAGCTAGGGGTTTCAGGAAACTCTCAAACACAGAAGGGTAAGCATTCTCTTCCACAGCATATCAACAACAGCTGGTATTTAATAGCAATCGCTAGCTGTACAAATGGGCTTGGACTTCCTAAAAAGCTAGTTCTCATCACATCCAATGCAATGAAAAAGCTGAGTCAGCTATGAGACATGAGAAGTTTCTTTTTTTAAAAAAAAGTTTATTTAAGTCTTGGACACTAGAGAGCAACACAGAGTCAGTTGGACACTTCCACGCTGAGACAGACAGATTGCAGTCAAGGATCAAAAGAAGGAATGTCATTAGGTCAAAATACTGCCCTATCTTCTGCAATATATTTGGGTGATTTTTGGAGGGGGGATTTATAATAAATGGAATTTTAATAGGAGAAAAAGTCTCAGCCCCTCCCAATCAGGAATTATTTGCAAAGATCTGTTTGTTGATGGCAAGATAGTTCTGCATCTCTCCCCTCCCCACCAGATCCTTGGCAGGAAGAGAGCTTTAAAAGGGAAGCAAATTCCAGGTAACATGGCTGATTGTCTTTTAATGAATATTCCCATTTTTGAAGAGCAGTGTTGACTTCAGGGTGTAGCCTGGTGATCAGGCACAAGTTCAACTGCCACGGCGCAGTGAAGACAGTGATCTTACGTGGCACTTAGCTTTTAGCACTTGATTCTTTTTTCTCCACTGTGTCGATGGTGTAAGAGGGGGCTGTGAATCAGCCTCAGTCCAATAAGTTCAAGCTGAATGGTCAGAATCAGACCAGTTTGTTTCTAAATGGAATCCAAGAATGAGTGGATGCTCAAGGAATCTGAACCTAAGATTGAAGAGGTGCAAATGGATCTGACTCAGCTTGAGGAATGGAATCGGAGATCTCCTTGGGTGATTCCAATAAATCTCCCAATCAAATAATCTCACAGCCCAAGTAGAAGATTGGCTTCTACTTTCTACTTTAGCAGGGTGGTAGCTCTAAAAATATATTTTTTCATTCCTTGGCATTTTTATTTCCACTTGTTCAGGCTGGGCATCAGAGAAGAGGACAATTGAGGCAGGGAGCTCTCAAGATTTTGGCATGCCTTAAAGGATGCGAGAAGTACCTGTGCTTTAAAAGATAGAGCCCAAGGCTCTCCGAAAATACAGCGTAACCAGATGCAACATTTTAGTCTTCTAGAAACCAAGAGAGGACAATCCACAGGCTTTTCTTTTCTTTTTGCATTTCCAGAGCTTTTTCTGGCCAGGCTGCCAAAATCTCGTAAGTCTCCCTGAGAGCCAAGGCTGCATTTTTCTGACATTCTGAGGGTCGTTTTCCTGTTGTTCAGGGTTATCCATCTTTTGAACAGGCTGAAATGGTTAACAGCGTTAACCAACTAAGCCAGGCATGAGGAATACACGCATGTGATACGGCTTTATCTGTGGCAGTCCCTGGGGCTGAGAAAGCAAATATGGAAACCTCAGCTTTCGAGCGTGCAAATATTGTTTGCATGCTAATATTTTTCACAGTCTCCATTGATAGCAGGCTGTTGGAAAATCTACAACACACACAACACACTCATACACCTAATGTGTGGCTTGCCGTAAGGCAGCAGCTGTACGCAGATCTTTTTAGGAGCGTGGTGCCGTAGAACTGGCTAGATCCTTCTAATCCAGGGTTGTAAATTCTAGCTAGCGGGAGCTAATTGCAAAGGGGAGCAGTTATTGCCAATAAATGTGGTGTCATCTCATCCTTATGTCTGAACATTTTTGTGCTGTTCATTTTGTTATAAGCGCTGGACTTTAGCTGGTGAAATTTGGGGGCAAAATCTGCAAAGCTGATCATCTCAGCTTTATCCTCCATTTATTTCATCTGGGCGATAGGATGAGGGCGAAAGCAGTCACCTACGTCCCTTTGGGATCCTGAAAAAGAGGATGCCCCTCCCCTGCCGATAACCTGCAATTCTAACCTGTCATCCTGGCTTATGTTCTTCTTTGATTCTGCAGCGGACCTCTTGCAAAGCTCATCCAAGGAGTCATGATTTTCTCCTCTCAAAATAACGAGAAGGTTTTGGCTCAAAGATGCACACCTCCCCAGCTGTTCTTCAAAGGGAGCCTGACATTTTTTTATTTTTTCCTCTCTTCACAAAGGGTACAAATTAAGAAGAACAGCAGCTCTCCCATAATAGATTGATTCCAGCCCATTTGAATCAACCCGGAAGTATTCTGAGAAGCATGTTTCAACTGGAGGAGGAGGAGGAGGAGGAGGAGGAGGGGACACTCCCAGCCAAGGGCTGACAAAGTCTCCAGCCTGTTTCTTGCCTTTGCTTGCCAAGCCAAACAAGGACGGAGTGAATAAACAGGATGCTTTGTGTACAAGACGGTCTTGCATCGGGCCCCAAAACTGCTTCTCACCTAGGGAGCTGAGATGGGGCTAAACACAGCAGCAGAGCAAAGACAAACTGCCTTTAGATTATCCCTGAAAAGATTTTGTGGTCAGAGGCTCCACTCCATGCCAGAGAAGGATAGGGTCGGGCTATGTCTGTCTGTCTGTCTGTCTGTCTGTCTGTCTGTCTCTCTCTCTCTCTCTGTTTTGAAACTGCTGTTGGGGTACATCCTCTCCCTGTGTGC